CGTGGTTATTTGAGACCATGGTCAAACCATTGACCCTTGCGACAATCGTCGAACAAAAAAGTTTGCAGAAGCATTATTAGATCGGTTTTGTAATTTTGCGCGAATATTACATGGAATGTGGTGCTAACTTTTGCAGCAAAATTTACTGCAAAAATCAGATATCTTTTTTGTGGGGTAAAATGAGTTTTATTGTAAGGTAGTAGAGCTACAGTCAAGAGGCCACAAGTCCTCGATACACTGTGGAACCGAACCCAACCACACAGCTGTAGCTCGCTCGGATTGGCTATAGTTGACCAACCGGTCGGCAACTCTGTTTTGACTACGACTAATTTTCTGAGGTAAAAACTCTCTAATACACATTTACTCTTTGATCTCTAGAACTAACTGGCCATACCCAGAGTGAACGAAGGCATCATTTGACAAACTGGCCAAAGCTTCAGAAGAATCCGACAGCGGTACCACAGGAAGGTTGGATTGTTGGATAGCCAAGGCCATCCCTTGCATGATCGCATGAAGTTCGGCTTTCAATGGATCATTGCAGTGTAATATATATCGATATGCAGCGAATAATACCAACCCACTACTGTCTCGCAGCACCATTCCAGTAGCAGCTGAACCATCGACCGCTCAGAATGATCCATCCACAGACAGGGCAACAGTGGCCGGCTCCGGGGTTAGCCAAGGATAAGGAGGGCTTAACCTTTTTGTCTCATTACTTAGCTATAAGATTATTTGTATCAATTCTAGTTCATATTTTTTATGCTGATATGTAGATGTCATGCCCACTAACATTGTTACAAATGTATCGCGGTCGATTTTTTTTCCAGGGCGGTGGAATGATTTTTGGTTTCCAGTATATTATTGTTATGTCTTATCTAAATTGTTTCCTTGTCACAACAAGAGTCAATTAGCTAGGTAACAGTTTTATGAGCTGTCAATTGTTTGTAATAATTTTATCACTTCATCATTAGATATAGGCCTGATTTCTCTTTCCTCCTGCCACCGTGTTAGTATGTGCTCATTGTTGTTTGGCGATGTCTCTAGAGCACGTTATTGTCTTGATTTGATCCATCATTGATGTCACTAACAAAATAATTGGAATGCAAGTCCACCAATTGGGGCTGTCAACTACAACAACATATTCTGCCGAGATATCCATCAAGTACATATAGTCATGAGTAGATATTGATAGGCCCGGGGAATTTGTGGTGGAGACCCAATATCCTTACTCCGTTTTGATTTCTGTATGTCTCTTTCGAGTTAGTAGATAGCTACACACAAGCAAAAGAAGGAGAAGAGAGAGAGAGAGAAAAGGAAACAGAAGAAAGAATGGGATGCCAACAACAAACAACTTGCGTTGATCAGCCACCCAAACATAAATGTGCATCAGACTAGCTACCAACATGTTATCTAGCCATTTATATACTCAAATGGCGTTGTGACTCCCGGGAGTATATGCTCCTGGTTTTAAAAATGTGTTTTAAATGTATTTCAAAATGTCACAAAATGCTGACAAAACGTTTCACACATACATCTCAACATTCTACGCTTCACAAATTCGTTCATGGAAAACTGACAACTTTTGTTTCGCGTGCGAAGAAGACAAAATTCAGTGTTAAAAAGGTCATTTCACGAGACATTATTTTTGTCTTTTTACACAGCCACAAAAATGTCTGTTTTCCGTAAAACTTGGCGTGCACACATAGAATGTATTGATATACGCGCCAATTCTTTGTCTGGAATTTTTTGACATTTTGAAATATTTTTTACCGGTGGCAGGAGCATATGCTCCCATGTGCCAAAGTGAATTTCCGCTAGTAGCAGATAATCCCAAATGAAATTGTTCTATGTGGAAAGAATTCGTAGCACGCAGGTGCAAGGGCACGCAACCTCCTTCTTCCTTTGGCTTTCAATTTTTAGTCTTTCATATCTTTTGAACCGAAAGTTCGAATTAAGTTTCGTTTACTTATTCATGTTTCCGGACGGGATCTTTCAAACGAGATCCATTTTGAATATGTTTTGAGGAGATTTTGAAACTTTATTAAGTTTTAACTTTTGAAACTTAGTACGAGCGACAATTTTATAAGTTTTAGAAAATGCGACCGGCAAAATTCTAAGTTTCAACAACCAAGTTTTAAAATTTGTTGTGCTCTTGTACGGGATCCATCGACTTTACGGATCGCGAGGCAATTAGGCGGCAGATCTATTTCTTATTAACTTCTCTGGCCTGACGCACTAGTGTATGGTACTTCCATCTCTAAGAGCAATACAAAACCTATATAGGTAAGAGTAAAAAGAAATTAAATGCATGCCCTCGGCCAGGGCTATGGGTGCTCATTGCTCAGCTCGTCCCATGACGTCACGGTGCGACGCATTTGTACCCCGTGTCTTCACCTGCCTTCGTCGCCACATGGTGAGAAGAGCATGGCATATAAGGTCATTCGTGAAAACTCTCACCATATCAAAATACATTGCATATTTATTTTGTCCCGAGTCAAACATTGTAAACCCTTACTAAGTTTTTAGAGAGAATATCAACATCCACAATACCAAGTAGATACAACATGAAAATACATAGTCCACAATACATGTAATGATATTGATTTTCTATTTGTGGATGTTGATTTTTCATCTTCTCCGATGAACTTGCTCAAACTTTACAAAATTCGAACCGTGACAAAACTTATCTGCAATAAATTTTAAAACAGATAGTGTAGTAGTACTTCGTCCGATCCATATTAACTACCGATGATTTAGTCTCTAAATCAGCAAGAATTAATATGGATCGGAGGGAGCAGTATTTTTTGCAGATTCTTAGAGCAGTTGAATCGAGTAGGGCGTTTTATAGCTCGGCCTCCATGGAGGCCGAATTTTTTGAAAAATTCAAAATTCGCACTTTTCAGTTTAAAAAAAACTGAAAAATCATACAAGTAAGCAAGGATGTTATGTATGTATGTAAAATTTGAGGATGAAATACCCTAAAATGCGATCTGCGCAAAAAAGACAAATTCATGGACTTTGAGACATGAAAATTTGAATTTTGATCAAGTCAAACTCGGGCTCCATGGAGCCCGAGCTATAAAGAGCATTTTCGAGTTGAATCCCTCTGCATAGATTAAACACACAGACATGTTTATGAAACGCGTAGACCCAGTATATATCTATCATACAAAAACCCTACAAGTTGCCCTCAAATATAAACAAGTTTACATGTGGCGACTCTTTCACAGTCCAGTTGGTAGAACTGCCCGCAGCCTGCAGAGCATTGTCGCCATGCATATGGCGCGCCCACGACATGCCTGCGCAACAAGACAAGCACGATCGATGCCTATCTACCCTGTGCTTCAACTGTTGCATCCCGGCCGGCCAACTTTTTCTTCTCTTCTCCTTGTTGGCCGTCGACATCGACAAGCCTAATCAACAAGTTGACTCCTTCCTTTTTGATCATCCCGCAACAACCAGCATCGCACGTCCGGAAGTTGATTTAAAATTGGCTCCTCGCTAACCCCACACCTCTCCCTCTCGTCCCGGCACCCCCATATAACCCACTCTGTCCTTCTCATCTCATCAGAATCCAGAGTCCAGGCGCGAGAGCCCACACCGACGGACATGGGGAACTGCCAAGCGGCGGACGCGGCGGCCGTGGTGATCCAGCACCCGGGCGACGGCAAGGTGGAACGCCTCCACTGGCCGACCACCGCGGCGGACGTCATGCGCAGGAACCCCGGCCACTACGTCGCCCTCGTCGTCCTGCACCATGCCGACACCGAGCCCGGCCCCGCCGTCGCCGGAGAAAGAGGAGGTGCCAGGATAACCAAGATCAAGCTCCTCAAGCCAAGGGACACGCTCCTCCTCGGCCAGGTCTACCGCCTCATCACCTCCCAAGGTTCGTGCCTGATGAACCAAAGACGGTTCTTGGATTGGATTCTTTCCCCTTCTTGTCAGGTCCCCTCTCTTGCTTCCATGGAGTTTAACCAATTATTCCGTGGCGCGTACAGAGGTGACCAAGGCCGTGCAGACGAGGAAGCAGGAGAGGATGCGTGGCTGCGACGAGGCCGTCGAGCGGGGGCGGCCGCGGTTGCACCGGCGACGGCAACTGCCGAGGCCGAGGGGCGACGACCCAACCACGGCCACCAGAGGCGAACAGAGGCAGCCCGCCGATCATCAGGAACGGAAGCGGCTGGAGACGGACCGGCAACACCGGAGCATCGCCGCCGCCCGCGGCAGAGGACGGCACTGGCGACCGGCGTTGCAGAGCATTACAGAGTCATCGTGGAGCGGACAGACAGACTGCGAGGATACATGTAAAGAGACTCTACATGTAAACGAACTAGAGTAGAAAAGTAGAAGAAGGTTTTTGGGGAGCTAGAAATGTATACATACATTAGGCAAACTTGGTACATTTTAAGTTAAGTCTGCATATAACATGGCTTTTGAGGAGTCACTTGCTGAAAGCTAATATGGAGAACAAACGTACCGCCCACAGTTAAGAATTTTGCGTGGAGAGTTGCTGTTGATTCACTTCCTACATGGCAAAATAAAAACAAGCGTGGATTAGAGGTAACAAGTTTTTGTCCGGTCTGTGCAACTGAGCCTGAAGACAGTTTTCATGCCCTGTGTCGATGCCCACCTGCAGTGCAACTCTGGGAATGCATGAGTGAGGTCTGGCGTCTGCTGAAATTAAAGGAGGTGTCTAACACGGGCATAGAATGGCTGCTGGAGGTTTTGTATCCTTTGGGAGATATTGAGCGAGCTATGTTATTATTCACTTTATGAAGATGTTGGCATAATCGGAATGAGCTGGTACATAATAAAATTCCAGCACCGATGAATGCTTCACGCCAGTATTTATGCAGCTACCTTGAGTCGTTAATTGTTATAGCTCAAAATTCTAATTGTGATCCAGTGAAAGGTAAAGTGGTGATATCTTATGATCCAACGGTAAATAGGCCACATGAAATATCAAGAATTGTGCCTCTTGTAAAGTGGCTTCCTCCTCCAGAGGGTTGGGTGAAGCTCAATACGGATGATTTCTGGACTGATGATGGAAGGGCTGGTGCTGGTATGGTGCTTCACGATAATCTAGGCAACATTATTTACTCATCTTGCAGGGAATTATTTTCATGCTGAGATGCCCTTGAAGCAGAATTATGCGCATGCATGGAGGGTTTATCCGTTGCTATTCACGGACGGAACTTCCAGTTTGTATCGAGATGGATTCACTTATAGCGGTGAACATGTTGAAGGACAAGGACATTGACAGGTCAATCTATGCGTCTTTGGTGGCAGAGATAAAGTACTTGAAGTCTCTTCGAACGACTAGTATTGTTCATATGAAGCGTGGTCAAAATTTAGTTAGTGATTTTTTAGCTAGTTTTGCTAGAACTGGGGGTAGAACTATTGTCTGGTTGGGATCAGGACCCCCAGATGTCATCAATTTGTGTAAGCAGGATTGTATGTTTGATGCATGGTTACTTTAAGTTTATCCGCAAAAAAAAGAATGTATCCATTGGCTTCTGTCCAGTTTGAATCCGTTTTGGTG